TATAATAAAAAATAATATAAAAGTTTAATATAATATCATCACAATTAATTTTATTTTATAATTTATATAAATTTATATTTTAGATTTTTTTTATAATAAGAAACATGGTTAGTAAGTTAGTATTTATTCGAGAACCGATCAAGAAGTCGACTTAATAATTATGTGTTGCATTCTACTTTATTTTTCATACGAAAAAACGTGACCACTTGAACCACATGGAGGAGTGCATTTATATTTTAGATATTTAATTCTTAAATAAAACAACTAATCAAACACTTTTTTTTCATTATATATACTTAAACAAAATTTCTTCAAATTTTGTTCTGACATTATTTTATTTCTCACATTTTATTTGTTCAAACAAAAAAATTTAAACTGAAATTTTTTTTAAAAATGTAATTGCCAATTTCTTCAATCTCATACTATAGTGTGTATGCACGTACTTTACATTAAAAAAAAAATTGAAACTGAAAAATTGAAAAATCAAAACCAAACCAAATAAGAGAAACACAAGTGTTTCCGGATAAGCTGATTTTCCGGGCTAAACCAGAATAGCAATTATTGAGCACATTTGAAGAAAAAAAGGTTAATGACAAAACAATTACAAACCATTGCTTTGACCTATGTGGAAAGGAAGAGGAAAATTTGAAGTGAAAAAGATGGTTTTGTATGTTAGAGGAAGGCGATTACCTCAGGGTACAAGGCACTTGTTTTATTATCTTTTTTCATTTATTTACATTCATTTTCAAAGTGTGAAAGACACAGAACATGCGTTATGAAGAATCATTATATAAATGGAAAACTATAAGATAAATTAAGCCTCTATGATTTTCTCAACTAATAAAAAATTTGAAACTGAAAATAAAGTTCATACATTTAAATCTTGAAACAAAATTTAAGAAAAGAAATGATTATCTATAACAATGAACTACTAGATATTTGATGATGTTATAACTTTCTAATATTTCATGTCTAGATCCAAAAATAGTAATTTCAAAACTCTTGAAATTAGAGATTGCAAATTCAATTCACTTGTAAGGCCACCAAAAACACCTTGAGATATTAAAAATGAGAAAGAATGCTTATGTATTAAAAATGAGAAAGAATGCTTACTTGGAGAGATGCTAAAATATTTGAAAGGGCTTGCCCATAATGTCATGAAAATGGACAGCAAGAGCTTATCAATTGGAACATCAAGAGCAGCTTCAAGCATTGGAATGACAATACCTGCAACAAGGTACACAAAAGAAGAGGACCAAATCTAAGTTAAACCCACGAAATCATAACACTTGAACCTCTTGAGTTTCAGAAGCCACTCCCTGCACAAATTTTCACATGCACCAGAGGCATTGATGGGCAATGCCATGAATAGTGAACTTTGGCTGTGCTGATTTTTAAGTCCTAGAATTGCAAAATCAGCTTCTCCGTTTACATTTGTCTCCTTTCTTATGTCAATTGCTGATCCATATGATTACCTACAATTCATCACATACGGCGGCTTTGAAATCCTAAACCATAGTGCAACAAATTGAAGCTAATCATACAGTCAACAATTAACATCAGATACATGTGAAAAATAGTGACAGGAGGATGAAAAATATGCTGTGTTAAATGACTGAAACAGAAAGTCCATTCGCTATTTATAGGCAAAAAATGAGTCATGAACTCACTTAATTTATATTCTTCACACTCTTTGAATTGTTTGTTATTTATACAATGTAATAAGGCATCACCCTCTTACTCCCCCTACTAAAACTGTTGTATAGGTTTAACACAAGTTTTGAATTCTTTCTTCTGCTTTCTTCACACAAATGTCACGTTTCTTCTGCCACACCAATGTCACGTTTCTTCTGCCATTCATTTTTTGGTATATGTTATATGTTCATTTGTTTTCTCCTTTTTTTGGAATTATGCGACTAATTCCAAGGTCATTGTCTTTAACTGCTACGAATCCTGGTAGGAAGTTACTGAGAGTACAAGACTTTGCTTCCCTACTCAAGGCAGCTGTGGTCTTTGAACTTGACGTCCTTCCCAAATGCTCACAGATAAAAACCTCTAGCAGATGAGTTTCTAAAGATCCACGTTGGTTTTCACTCCAAGTCCATTTAGCACGTAAACAACACCCAAAGTGGCAACATTGCCCGGTAAAACTCTAGGATTAAATGGATAACCTCCAAGACCTGCAACCTATGAGTCCACGGTGTTGATCCCCCCATCTGTGAAAACATGGACAGCATTTTCAGTTGTAAAGCATACATGAACTTATAGTAGTAGCCAAAAAGACATGTATCTGATAATCATCTTGACAAGAAAATGAACATGTTGAGAAGCAATCATAAGAGATTGAAAATGAGAAAGAATGCATAATTGGAGAGATGCTAAAATTCGAAAGGGCTTACCCATAAGTGTCATGGAGATGTACAGCAAGCTTATCAATTGGAACAACATCAAGAACAGCTTCAAGAATTTGACTGACAGTTCCTCCAACATGGCACAAAAGAAGAATATCCTAGGTTAACCCCAAAAGTAAAAATAATAAATTTGAGATTATGATGCATTGAAACCAGCACATAATCAATTAGCCTGTATCAGACAATGGATTTAGAAGAAGCTTCAGCTATTTGTGTGCATTAAAATCACTAACATGATTCGAAACAAACCAACAGAAACCCCACTGCCACTCCCCTAAGGGCCCACCCCAAGAGAAGGTAAAAACAAATAATGTGTGGTTCCAAACAGAATACAGTTTTAAGCATTACCAGGCGTACCAACACGAGTTGTATCACTAAGAGAAATTTCATAGCAACCCATATAACAAAGTTGTTTGGCCACATGTGCAAATTTTGCCTCCATTACTTCTACAGGGCAACCCATTACACATGATATATGTCTACAAAGTTGAAGACTAAACTGA